ATACAAGTGGAGCCGCAGGAAAGAGAAATTCATCCCGTACCAGAGGATCACCACGCACAGCGCTAGGGACTGGGAGGCATTTGTCATTGAGGGAGAGGCTTTCCTCGCAGTGGTCAACCACAGAGAAGGTACCCAGCCCTTATATTCCTACCGGCCCAACACAGCTGGGGCAGACGGCCCTGCGTTGATGCTGGGGACCGGGGTGCCCCACTGCAGGCACCCTGCTCGAGAGCATCCTCCTGTTGTCGTGGCAACCCTGCAGCTCCCTGCGCATCATCTGCTGGCATGCAGGGTAAAGCTGGGGAGTCGGTGCATGCAAAGTCGGGGAGGTGGTGTCCCTCAGGAAGCTCCAGCCCTTGCAGACCTTCTCATTTTAGGAGAGAAAAGCGCTCGGGGAAGTGGCTGGCACGGTCCCCCTCCAGGTTTCTGATGGCAGGGGACAGTGGGGATGGTGTCTTTGCTGAAGCTCTCTGTTTCTTATCATTTGTTTCCCTGATGCTACATAACATGGTGGGGTGGTAAGGGCAGCTGCCTGGGGTTGCAGGGACTGAGCACCTTGAGGAGCCAAAGCCTTAGCCTTCTGAGCAGGTAGGAAAACAAGGGAAGCTGTGTGAGAGCCTGCTGGGCTTCCTGCTGCCCTGGGCACCCTGCAGACAGGGTCCAGCCTGAGTGCTTGGCGTGGGGCAGGCTGCAGCTTCCCCTCGCTCTGGAGTTCATGCTATCGGTAGGGATCGGTGCGTGGAGGTCCCTGGCCAGCTCAGCACTCGGGAGCTGAGCACGGGGACTTAGCAAAGGAATGCTGAGAAACACCAGTGCGGTGCCGTTCCAGCTGTGGCCCTGTCCCAGATGTGCGAGCTTGTGTGCAAAGGGTGACAGTAGCTCCCGATGTCGGTAGCTTAGGGACTCAGTGGGGACTGGCCCAGTCAAGCTTCTGGTGTGGGGAGAGAGCACTCTCCCTTCCCTCCTTCGCCAGGGGCTGCCACAAATCATCCCTGCGTGCTCGGGAACAAGCTGCCAGCGTGTTCGATGGGGATGGAGGCTCTAGGTGGTGATGGGGTCTCTTTGGCTCCTTCTTGGGGAGCAACTGGCCACTAGCAAACAGCCTTGCAACCTGCTGGCAAATATTTGCCTGGCTGAACCTGTTTCTGGGTCTTGTTTAAGTGAGCCAGGTACTCCTTTTCCTCACCGTGCACGTTTGTCTGTCTCCCCCAGGGAATAACCACAACATAGACAGCGTGATATACAGGTGGAACCCCAGGACAGGATTGTTTGAAACCAACCAGACCATCCCTACCTCTGGAGCCTACGACTGGGAATTTTTTACCATCGGGCCATATTCCTTCCTGGCTGTGGCTAACACATTCAATGGCACATCCACTAAGATCTACTCACACATCTACATCTGGCTCAGTGGCTCTTTCCAGCTCTTCCAGTCTATCCTGGTAAGGTCGAGCCACTGATTAAACCCTACTCCTCGGTCCCTGCTCTGGGTTTAGACAAGTCAGGGAATAATCACAGAGACAGATGCTCATCAGTCCTCTGGGAAGGCACTGATAGCTTCCACTGATTATTCCCTTGGGATTGACCAAGTAAGGTTTATTTTTTCCTTTGGAGGGTTTTAGGAGGGGGTAACTTCCCTGCTGCACCTCCAGCAGGTGTCCCCGCTGTCACCTCACAGCATCCTTGGCTGGCAAAGGCTTGTCCAAACCCAGCTTCTCGGATGGTTTCTTTCTCCCTCAGACTTTCGGTGCTGCTGACTGGGAGGTCTTTCGTATCAGGGACAGAGTCTTCCTGGCTGTTGCGAACAGCCACAGCTATGACAGCGGGATGCCGGCACCCTCTAACTTCTACGCCATCAACTCCTCCATCTATGAGCTGAACATCACTGCCCAGATGTTTGTCAAATTCCAGGACCTCCTCACCTACAGGTACCTGTGAAAAGAGCGAGGGTGCTTCTCAGTGCACGTCCTTCCCCTGCGGTCTCCGGCAGAGGCCATGCAGGTTTGCACACTGCCAGGGACCCAGGCTGGCGGGGAGGGCAGGGGTGACAGCTCCTTGCCACTGAATCCCAGTGGGACCTAGGAAAAGGGCCCTGGGTTGGGAAAAGGGTGGATTCCCTTTCAAGAACAGCCTGGGAAGAGCAGGGTTTTCTGTGTATCATCAGGGGGGCAGAGATTGGGGTGGGGTGGGCTCAGCCCCTTTCTCAGCTGGCCACAGAAGGGCCACCTCACCTGCCCCTCTGCTTCCTTCACCCCCCAGTGCCCTGGACTGGGAGTTCTTCTCGGTGGGAGATGACTCTTTTCTGGTGGTAGCAAACTCCTTCGATGGCTTCACCTTCTCCGTTAACAGTATTATCTACAGGTACTGCTGCGGGAGGAGGGCAGGGCTAGAGGGGTGGGGGGATTGTTGGCAGCAGGAACAACCTTGCCACAAGCCCAGCGTGGGGGGTCTGTGGATACTGGTGCACCTGCCCAGGGAGGACAGACAGGCCTGCTCCCTGTTTCTGGATAGATTTATGGGCAGGAATGAGAAGCCCCAGTGAGGGGACATCACACTTTGGACCACAACAGGGAGGTGGGAGATGCCAGCCCCATGGCTTTCAGGTGTCCAGCTTGTGCCCCAAGAGCTAACCGTCCTCCCCGTGCAGGTGGCAAGGCTATGAAGGCTTCGTAGCAGCTCACCACCTCCCCACTGTCGGCTGTAGAGACTGGGAGGCATTTCACACCGCCGAGGGCTCCTACCTCCTCTATTCTAGTGCCAAGGAGCCGCTTTCCAAGGTGCTCAAGCTGAAAACCACCTGATGTGGTTGAGACCTGCTCAGCTCGTCTCCAGGATCAGGGCGAGCTGGGCATCGAGCTGAAGATAGACCACAGTGCCCAGGGATGGCCACAGTGTCAGCCCTGCGGCTGGCTGGTGATGTGCTCCGCAGGATGGGGAGGAGGAGGAGGGGAGCTCCAGGGCTCCCTGCAGCCCTGTCCTGGGGCTGACAGAGGGGCTGTGACCCTGCTTTTGTGCTGTTTCTCCTGCCTCACTCCAGAGCCATGTCCTACCCAGGGTGCCTGGAGCACAGGCACTTACTTCACTGGGCTCACCAGGACCCTGGAGCTTGGCAATCTCCAGACAGGAGGGACCCAGAGGTGCTGTTGGTTGAATCCAGAGCTTGTGCAAATCGAGGGAAGAAAGAGACTGAGCGGAGTGTGTGCTGCCAGGGCGGGTGCATGGCAGAAGGGGGGAGATGGCTTGTGAGAAATTGGGGTGGCTTCAGGCTTGGCTCTGGCTGCCCAGAACCTGGGGCTGCCATGCTGCTGAGGACCCATCTGGTTTGATATTGCACGCCCTACTTTGTGGCCATCTTCGGTGGCCTCACCACCCCATCCTGCTGCTGTGGGTGCCTGCTTACCTTTCCAACTCTGCCCTGGCCAGTTTTGGTCATCCTCACTGAATGACATGTGCATAGTGTACAAATCCATAGGTGTGTAATGGGACCGATGCCGGTCCTTGCACCCTTCTTCGTGAGGTTATAAAACCTGCTGTGCATCGGGACCAATCCTGCTACCATGGGTGTGGGAAAGACCCCAAACTGCTCCAGGTGATACTGTGGCTTCTTTTCTCTTCTTCGCCTTTATCTGGGAAACTCTTTTGCTTAAACAGAGCTCTAATAAACTGTATGCGCACAGCCTCCATCCCACATCCAAGCTGCGGGTACCCAAGGGGCCCATCGTAGAGGCTCCTCTCCACTCGAGAGGACCCTTGAGCCACCCTTGAGCCAGACAGGGCCATGACTGTGGCCACAGGTGGCTCACGAGTACGAGCACAGCAGGTTGCTGGGGTGAAGAACCCCATCCAACTCCTCCTGCCCAGGACCCTCTGCCTCTCACAACCAGCTCAGAGCATCACTCAGCTTTCCCCAGCCCTGAGTTTCCTGCTAGGTTTCCCCTGGTGTTAGGGAGCCCACAGGAGGTGCCACCCCTCAGGAAGGGGCTGGAGGGGAGTACATCCTTGGCCAGCCGGGGGTCCAGGCCTCAGAAACCCACTGTGGGAGATCTCCCGCCTCCCCCAGCCCCAGCTGCAGCTGGCTCTGCCTGGAGAGACCATTTTCTTACTTGTGAAACAAGGCAGAACTCAATTTGTTTCCATTGCACTGAGCCACGAGCAGCATCTTTAATTTGGCCTGGAGGAAAGGCAAGACAGGGCGAGACGTACCAGATGCGATGCAGAGGCGCCATTTGGCCAGATGGCCCCTGCTCAAAGCAGGCTGGAGAGAGGGTGGAGGGGATGTAACCTAATGGGGGTCACTCTGCTACATTGAATTTAGGCTTGTCTGCTTTGGGAGAGATTGAATTAGGACAAGCACAACACCCTCAAGCAACATTGCCCTTCCCGGATGCCCAGTTCCCAGTGAGTGCAAACCCTGAAGGCTTTTCCTATGTGCAGGGCTTTATTAAGTAATCAAAGGTTTGGGAGATCACCCCCGGCTTGCTACTGGCAGGCAGAGCTTGCCGAGATGCTGTGCAGGGGCTGGGGCTGATGTCCTGCTCTCTGCAAGGTGGGTCTCTCACTGGAACCAGGGTGGGGTGACCCCACTGTACAGAGCAACCCATCCCTCTGCACCCCAGGCTCCGGGGACTTCTTGGCGCCACACAAACCCCCACCCTCATCTGTTTCCCCCCAGGGGCTTATTCTCTCCAAACCACATGTACCACGAGCACATGGCTGGGGCTGCTTTCCCTGCAAGCCCAGCTCTGGCAGGGAAGAAGGGGGTCTGCGTGCAGGGGTCCCTCCCCAGGAACCTGGGCTCTGTAGTCAGGTCTGTGTGGGGTGTCCTCCCCCACGTCGTTTGCTCAGGCAAGGTCCAGCATCGCTGAGGAGCGGGGAGTCAGTGGCACTTTTTTGCAGGACTGGAGCAAGCACTGGAAAATCCCATAGAGAAGCTTTGAAGCCCACCAGGTGGCCACTGGCTCCCTGCAAAGAAGCTGGGAACAGGGCAGCCCAATCCTGCGCTAGAGGGCAGTGCTGGTGGTCTCTGCACGGCCCTGGCTGCTTGGCAGTGACTTCAGGTAGTCCACGTGCTTGCAGGTGTCCTCTCGGTTGTGCCGGACATAGCAGATCACGTAGACGATGACCATGGCAAACCAGCCGAACATGGTGATGAACATGGCCACGTCCGTGGTCCTCTGACGCACGCTGCAGAAGTTGACACCCGCATCCAGGACCTGGAGCAGCGGCTTGCCCACATACTCCTCGCGGGGTGCCGTGTGGCAGGTGATGTCCTGGACGGAGTCGGGGTCCAGCCGCGCCTCCCACAACACCTCCTGCAAGGCACACTCGCAGTGCCAGGGGTTGTTGGCCAGCCGGAGCTTGGCATTGAGCGCCAGCAAGGCTTCCTTGGGGATGCTGCGGATGCGGTTGCTGGAGAGGTCGAGGGTACGCAGCCCGGCGGCCACCCCTTTGAAAGCCGCCCGGTCGATCTTCTCAATAGCGTTCCTGGAGAGGTCGAGTTCCTCCAGGTGGGAGAGGTGCCTGAAGGCATTGCTGGGGATCCTGGTGATGCTGTTGGCGTCCAGCTTGAGGAACACGGCATCTTTGGGGATGTCCCTGGGGATCTCCTCCAAGTGCCTGGAGCTGCAGAGGACGGCCTTTGCCCCTGCCCGCTCCGTGCATTGGCAGCTGGGGGGGCAGGAGCTACCCCAGGGGACGCAGAGCAGGAGGCAGAAGCAAGCTTGGGTGAGGCTGGCCGCCGGCATGGCCGGGAGGGTCATCTTGCACCTGGCCCGCTCGGCATGGCTGCTGGCGATTCCCTGGCGTCTGCAGCAGCTCCTAGGCAGCAGGGAGGCTCCTTGGTGCTCTGGCAAAACCGCAGCCATTGCTGGAGGAAGGTGGGGAGTGGAAGGGATATGACACGGCATTATTTCCTGACGCCACTTACGTCTCATGTGTAAGGTGCCCTGGCAAAACAGTGGGAGGCTGGGCTCAGGAACCTGGAAAACAAGGGTGGAACTGGCTACCATCTTTTCCAGCACAGCTTAACTTGATTTAAAGTTAATTATACCTGGACATAGAGCTGCAGAATTAAAAACCCTTCCCTCCCCCCAGCTCCCATCTCTGCACTGACCACCCAGGCAGGCAAAGGGTGCTGCAGGATGGGGGTGCTGAGACGGGCACAGCCTGGGAGCTTCTGCCCCAGCCTGCTGCCAGTTTCCACGTGGGATGCAATGATTTGCTGCTGGAGAACAGTGGCACTAAATTCCTATCTCACCAGCCCCGAGTGTTAAAAAAAAAGATGAGTCAGACTCCCCGGATCATCAGACTGCCTTAATCACCACCAGGTTTTTAAATAACAAGATGTGGAGTTCTTTAGCTTTCCCTATCTAGTCCATGAGCTGGTACAAGACACGTTTCCAAGGGCTTTGCCCAAGCAGGGGTGTGGATCCCCAAGGGTCAGCCCAGCCCTGCTGGGGATAGGGCAGGAGGGCCACCTCCCCTCTACCCTTCAGTGCTACTCACACCTCTCCTGCTGCCCTGGTCCTGCTGAGGGGAAGGGATCCCCAGAGCGGGGAAA